GCGCCTTATAATTTGGTGCGCCTTATAGTGTGGAAAATACGGTAATACTGTGGGAATTGTTTCTTTGGATTATTTGATTCTTTTCCCAGGGCGTAACTATGTCAAATAAAAAAATTATGGTTTTTGGGTGTTTGGCCAGTGTTGTGCACAGTATAAGGGCTGTAAGAAGAGATGCAATGCAGGTTTGTTATCATCTAAATTTAGGTTATCTCTAGTTAAGCTACTTGTCAGAGGCAGATTATTTAAAATAGAGTTTGATTTACAAAATATTTCAATTATATTTGAAAAAAAATAAGTTAAAGCAGTTTTTCAAGTGCACCATTTTTAATTCTAGAAAACATATAAAAATGTATAATTACAGGATTGCGTTAGGCCAGTATCCATTGTGTGGTTATTGTACATATTTGATGTGCTGACTTTAGATTAGTCTGCTTGAACTTTCGATGCTCTTCTTTTAGAAAAATCTACAAAGAAATCTTAAATAAACACTTTTTCTGTAATGTCTGTCATGGAGTTTTAAGGAAGCAGTCTCTAGCTGTGTTTCCTTTGACCAAAAAAAACATGCTAATTTTGAAAAAACTAAAAGGTTTTTGCTCTAGAATGAGATAGTTTTGCAGCTGTTTTGAAATAGGTGTGCACCGCAAAACTGCAATGGAAACACTTTTTTTTCACATCACATGAATAACACCAGTTTATATACAGCAGCAATGTGGTTATTTGAAGGCATTGGCCTCTTTAGACACCATCACAGCTCTCACACCAACACATAGTTCATAAAAAGTTGAGTTTATCATTCCAAAGTGTGAATACTCCTCTGTAAAATCACAGATTACTTCCCCAAAACCCAACATATGTAACTGCTCTCAAGTAGGCAGAGCTTGTTGCTTTGACACCTGAAAAAAACGCTAACGCTAACTTCTCCTGAAATATGTATTTTACGTGTTTACATCTGTCACATCCATAATTTTTAATGACTTATTGCATGAACAAACTTATTCACATGCGATTTTAATTTCATTTCTTATTTAATGGAAACATCAGAAATGCAAAATTGTTTTTTATTGACATTAGCAGAATATCAAAAAGTCCTACACAGATTTGTAATGGAAATGCAGCTACTGAAAAAAATATTAAGACGTCTTTCGCATCTTATATTTGCCACTGCTAACATAAGGAAGTATTGGCTACAATCCTGGTGTATGCTGCCTGAAAGTAGACACTTTCCAAAAGGCTGCCAACATTTCCCAATCCAGGAAGTTCCACAGAAAACAGAAGTTGAAAGGTTCAAAGCTACGTTGCTCTAGATCAGGGGTCTCAAACTCTAGTCCTCGAGGGCCACTGTCCTGCAACTTTTAGATGTGCCTCTGGTGCACCACACCTGAATAGAATAATTAGGTCATTAACGCTCTGGAGAACTGATCTACAGAAGGAGGAGATAATTAAGCCATTTCATTCCAGTGTTTTGTACCTGTGGCACATCTAAAAACTGCAGGACAGCGGGCCTTGAGGACTGGAGTTTGAGACCCCTGCTCTAGATGGTTCAGCCATCCTGTGGTCTGCTGAAAATCTTTGCCGTCTCTCATTAGACCCTAATTAGACCCTAGATTCTTTAAAACAAGACTATTTGTGAAAAGTGTGAGGAAGATGAAGAATGGGAGTTTTCTTGCACTAACCATTGCTTGAATGGTTTGCAGCAAAGTGATCAAAGGAAGGAATACTTGTAAAACTGCTGCACATGAAAGACAAACGGTCTGTCTTGTTGAATGCAACAAGAATGAGCTATAGAACAGGAGAGTAACTGCCTATCAAGTCACGTTCAGTTTTTTTTTTTTTTTGGTTTTGTTGTTACTTGGCTCTGTTAGTCAAGCTGATGACGTGTCAACTCATTACAATGAATAGATTTACAGTCCTTTAGGTACTGTAAATCTATTCAGCTATGTGTGTAAACATGACATGATATCTGCAGTGGCTTGTGGGTGGAAGGAGTATGAAGCAGCAGTAGAAACCTATGACTAAACTACTGAAAGAAACACCTTAAACCAAATGTGAAGCAGGACTGTTGAGGACTTGATTCGATTAGTTTGGCTTGGTATCCTGCTATGGGACCTGGGACTTTCCTTTGGAGTTAGGAGTTTAACTTTGTTGTTAAACTCCTAACAACAAACAAGGGCCATCAATTGACCGCAAATGGACCTAGCACATCCTAAGTTGATTGAATTTTCCAGATTCATTTATGTTGTATATTTTGTAGTTGAGTTGTCCTGCGGTGCCCCTGAATCAGCTTGGCTTAAGAATTCTGCCAGATATGATACATTATAACAGGGAATGTCTGTACACTGGCGTCCTTGTCCAGACCAATCATCCTGGCACTGCGATAGTCTCCCTCTGTAATCTCTAGGTCAGCAATTCTATATGGCAGAGATTGATTCTGCTTATAAAGGAATCACTGCAGCTATAGTGAGTTTGGCCTCTAGCTTTCAGAATTACAGTGTGTGGTCAGCTGACTCCCATGAAGCCCATTACTCTTCTGTTCAGAGTCTACACAACCACCCCGACCCCCAAGCACTGAGCCTGGCATCATCTTTATCCCTTTTTTTGTTCAAATTTACACAATCTGGGCAAACAAGTTGACTTTTTCTCGTCTGCTAGGCAATTAGAAGTTCTTTGATTCACCTCTGCCTGCTTTTAAAGGCATCGCTTTTCTGATGATCAACAGGCTAGAAGACCAGCTATGATTCCTCAGAATCAGAAGCATTGTTAGAGGAGAGAGAATCAGTATTTACTAAGGTGGCCTGCTGAGATCAGAGGGACGTTACCTCTGTGTGTGTTTTAAGTGCGTCGCCTCCTCCTGTTGCCTCTTGCGGCCCTGCCGTGACTTGGCTCCATTTGAGTCCGCCGAGGTCAACGTAAAGCTGCTCATTAATCTTAGCAGCAACTCTGTCCCACTTCTCTCCATAATCTTTCCTTCTCCTAATTTCCCTTATCGGTCACACCGACTTTCTTTTTGTTTGTGTTTGGAAGGCTTACTCCAGGCAGTTAGCCAGGGGTTGGAGACAAGGAGCAGAACGGACTGCTGCAGCTTGCCCCTCATCCCCCCATCCGTCATGAAGCCAGGGGTGGTTTATCATGCTAGGTTTTAGGTTGTTATTTTTTTTCATCCTATCCCTGCCAGCAAATGGTCATTCATTTGCAGGCGATAGATAGTGCTGAGAGTACTGATGGGGAAGCTAATGCTTTTAAGTGCAAGATTACACCACATTTAATAATGATGTTACTTATTGCTGCTGGCTCTGCAAACTGTCATTTGTCATGCATTCCCCTCTTGTGTTCTACCGGCGTTTTCCTTCCTCCTTGCTAATTTTATCCCATTTCAGTCTAATCTCTTCCCTGCAACCTAAATTGCCATGTTGCTGCAGTAAACATCAATGAGGCAGGTCCATCTATTTCATCAGCACCCCGACGTCTTTGAAACCATCAGCTGCTGTCATGAGGCGCCTGCGGGGCAATCACAGATGGCCTGTTAAAGTCTCAATCTTCTCCTTTGTGTTTCCGGGAGAAACCTGCGTTGTGCTGTTTCTAAAGCCGACCTCATCAAAGAAACCAGGATGAATAAACTGTTAAAAGAAACACTGTGGCAAACGCGGTACTATATGCTACCGAGGCTTTTAGCTTTTGTTAAGCTGCTGACAAATTCATTAGTGATCTTTTCTGATTCATCAGATCTTGACAGCTTCAAAACGCAGTCGGTGAGGAGTGCAGTGAACGTCCGTGAGGGCCAAGGAGTGGTTCTTTTATGTGGAGCTCCCCCACATTCTGGAGGTAAGTGCTGCCACATCAAGCTGCTGTTGTTTGTGTACTTTTGTTTTGATTATAGAAATACCCAAAGGACTTTCCCTGTTTTACTTTGACATTTGAGGGAAAAAAAATCTGTTTTTATTTTATTATGTATGGGGCAGCAGGAGATTTTACCTTGTGTAGTAATTAAACAGTTTGACAGCATTTATGCAAATATTTTACATTATATTCTTAAAGTTGGTATGAACCCCTTGCATGTTATTGTTTACAACCAGAAATTTTGCTCATGCCAGAGGGCAGAAAGAACAAGTCTGTTAGCCAAATAAAACCTGGAGATGAATATATTCTTAATCTAGTGTTACATGCCACAGCAAAGGGAAATATAACGCAGAAAAACCATTGGAGAATAATTGAAAGTCACTTGTTTTCTTTTTTCTTGCTGTCTGTGTTGGCTATGCCATGGCAGCTGACAGCAACGGTGCTATTTGTCTCAAGATTCACCATCAAAAAACACTCAAACATTTCCTACACAAATTTGTTGACTTTGTTGACTAGTTATTTCAACTATCACTATGGAAGTGCTCTCTATGATTACTTCATTTCTTCACACAAACGTATATTATTGTCTAAATGCATCTCTCTAATGCATATTTTGGCTTTAATGAAATACAAGTCTCATTATGATCAGTTTTATGTCTCATTATAACAAGAAACTTTCTGGTTATTTCAAGATATTACTCCTGAATTTATTTCCTTGCTTTGGCAGTTAGTTTGATAATTAAAATGGCAATAAAATATTGTTAAAGTCAATATTTAGGATGCTTTGATTTTATATCAGCACTAGGATCATACTGTATAATGTTTGTGTAAATGCCCTGGAATTGTTTAATTATTACACGACAGGATAACAAAAAAGTTTGTTATGATGAGATTCTCTCCTGAATTTATGTCTTAGCTCTGGCAGCTCAACGCTTCTGTATCAAACATAGAATAAGCAGCCAGTAAATATCACAATAGCTTTTAAAGAAACATACTAATTCAGCATAACATTGTACGTTTTTGGATGTACATTGTTTTTGGTACAACGCAAACATGAACATGTACCCATTCATTTATAAGGTAATCTGCTTTAGCAGCTAACCTTAACAGCAAAACACTAATACTTTTCACACCCTGTTTTATTTTTTATGAGCAGAAAAACTTCTAAAGGAGGGGAAAGTGTGGAAGACTATTTTTTGCCAGCTGACCAGCAATGCATAGCAATAGGTGTGGGAGGGGCAGAGCTGTATTACTTTATGCTTCAGAGCAACGCTGGTCACTCGGGAACTTTCTCAGGCATCATTAAACAGACTTATATACGTTTTGAAACCTTTGACTTTTTGGTACATCTTCTTATCAATAGCTTACAGTATTGCTACAAGGATTCTGATTTTACAAAGGACTAAAATCAATCACAGCTTGTATGCTTTTTTATTTTTTTAGTCTAATTAAAGAAGGATGTTTCTCAAATTAATCTCAAAGAAATTGTCTTATTTACTTCCTATGATTGTAAAGTGTGAATGTTGAAAAATGCTCTCCTGAAGCTGCAATAAACAGGCGGTTAGCTTACCATTCCACAGAGGGTGGAAAGCAGCAAACAGGTAGCCAGGCGTTGTGAAAATGTGATAAAACCGCATACAGACAAACAGCACCTCTAAAGTTAACTCATTAGCACAGAGTATTGATCTGCTTATTTGCTAGAAAACTGCTTTGTTACAAAGGAATTACATTCTGGAAAGAAAAAAACATGCTGCCCACAACTACAGCCTATCACTATCTAACTTAAGGTTTGCAGAAATGTTAATTAATGAGATTTGGGGCTACAAAGTTGGAATTAACTGTTTCTTCACTGTTTTCAGTGCCTTCCACACAAAGTTGTGCCTAACTGTAAAGTTAGAAAAAAGGATTTATGTTTTATAAAGATTTCCCATATGTTTGTATTCAGCCCTCTTTACTCTGATACAACTGAATAAAATCCTGTTTAATCCATTTGATTCATGAAACAGTCTTCTTAGTCAACTAACATCCTCTTGGAAACCAAAGTACATCTCACAGACTACTACTCAAACCATCGTCCACTGACTACCGCATAATGGCTACCATACCAACACATACCAAGACATTGTGGTCAACCTAAGCATGTAGGACAAGGACAGAATTAACTGAAAAATCAACTCTAGTAGCTTGGTAGAAAAACGCCCACTGGTTCTATGGTTTGGTTTGTGCAGAAAGCCTGAACTATTGGCTATTGAGAAACAATCACTTGCTGGAGGCACGGAAGGTGAAAACAATTGTAGCTATACTACAAAGTTTACTGGAAATTGCGAGTGCTGTAAAGAGAGAAATCACATCTTTGGCAGGAATAAAATGTCTTAAGCATTCCTCTTGTTCCAGCATCAATTGCTCATTATTATAGGCCAACATGGACTGAACAGCTTTGTTCACTTTCTCCACTGTCATTGCTAACCAACAATTCTAAAACTGTGCAAAAAATCTATGTCATCGTTCACAACTTCTCCATCTGTTTGCTGGTTGACCAGTATGAAATTCATCAGAAACTGTTGTCAATGGGAGAAATTCTAGATGGTGCACTGAAGGGAAATGAGAATTGCATTAGAAAGGCAATGGACAAGCCACAACTGTAAAGGAGCCAAAGACATTAGATGTTCTATTAGTTGTTCATGTCAAAAATCTGGCATTTATTAAAGCAGTCATTAAAATAAAGACATTAATCTTGGATGGAAATCAGCAAATATGTGTAACAGAATTATGTGGCCAGATGAGACAATGAATCTTTTTGGGCCTTGTTGTGATGAGAGCATGATTGTTTTTCCAGTGAGAACTGTTGTTGCGCAACAACCCCCCCTCCTTCTCTCTCTCTCTCTACTTCCCCTTCTGAGAGGAGGCAGATGTTGCTCGCCAGCTCTCCGTCTAACAGGTCCGAGAAGCCTCTAACTCCTGAGTATTACTCCAGATGAGAATATAGAGGACTTTCTGTTTAAGCTGGGCGCGAGAAAGACTAGCCTGGTTTCTAACGACCTCCATCCAGATGTCCCACCCTTTTTCACCCTGTGAACTAGCCAGATCGAGCAGCCTGCAATCAGCTAGCTTCACAGAGCACACCTGTTAACGGTCGCTCTTTCTCTTTATTACAACTTGCACTTGTTACTGAACCAGGAAGGGTTTTAGTGACTCGTGTGAGTCCCAAGGGTGTTGTTTGGGCTAAAAGCAACCTATCAAACATTTTCCACTTTCTCCTCCCAGAATCAAACTTCATAGCTATTTTACAACCATCAAAGAACTTTAAGGTGACTCATTAATTGAATGTCCACAACATCTTTTAGATTTTCTTAATGCTAATTATTTTATTAGTAAGGCAATTTTGCAAGGGTCAGTACAGCTTAAATCAGTAGCAGAAATAATCAAATAAGTAAAATCAATAATCTAATCTATCTTTCCCTAATGCTGACACTCTAAACTAAAAAAGGGAAACTTTGAGAGAGATGGACGGAGTTTGGCATCTTGAACCCCAGAACTGGCCTGATGAAGGAAGTGTTGCAGCAGCAGAAGGCTCACAGCGCTGATAGATGAGGGCCTGCAGGTCTGATGAACTTTTGTGTCCGCTTCGATGGTGAGGTCACACAGGACTTGGGTGCTGGTAGGAAGAGTACTGACTTAGAGCGGCAGGTCTTGGGCCTCAGGGTAACTTCCTCATGCACGTAGCGGTCCTCAGCTCCTTGTCTTGCAGCTCTGTAGCTCCTTTCTCCTCGTCTCACGATCTTTCTGGTCCATCGAGATGTAGACGAGCTGGTCTCATGGAAGGAACACACCAGTTCTTCATCTTTGCCTTTGTTCTTTATCTTTGTCTTTATCTTCATCTTTACCTTGGTCTTTGTCTTTGTCTTTGGGGTCTCGAACCCAGCTGGTGAGAGAAGTGCAATTTGAAGCCACATGTTGCGGGGCTAACGGGTTGGTCCCCATGTGCAGAACAGTCTTCGGCTCTGTGGCCCCGGCTCTTCTTCAGCTGCAGAGTTCTTTGTCCATCTCGATCTTGGCTCGAAGCTGCCTGAAGGATCCAACCAAAGATTCCTCTTTTGCACTCACCTTATAAAGAGTTTATCCACCCTTTTGGTGCATTTGCATTGGCTAGCTTTGTTGCTGTGCCTGTTTCATTGGCTGACTGCTTGGACCGATAATCTCATATCCATCACCATCTTTGGACATGACCTGATGTCTGTTCTAATGTCCCAGGGTTGCTCAACAGCCCTCTTGTGTCTAACCTTTTCTTAGGTAAGTTGAAGTTTAGCAATAAGGCGTTGGACACCTCCGCTCTCCCATCAGTTCCTCTTTCCCCCTGACCTTTCACCTACCATCTACCTCCAACACAACATCAGTGACCTTTAGTTACAGTTACACACTTTACACTATTTCAAGTTCAATGTCAAAATCACATTTATAACCTTTTAGTTTCTCTGATTTAGCATTCATTTATAATTTTATAATAACCATTACTTATTAGTTACTCTTATAATCATAATGTGAGTTCTTACAGACATTTCTGAAAAGAAACCAATAATAATTCATTATTCTAATCATTTGACACCATGTTACAGTTACTTGTTTCAGCTGTAAGTATTTCAATAAGTGTAAGAGTAAGTGTAAATATTCTTATAATCAAACCAACATCAACCAATATTAATTATCGGCTTAATCATAAGTTATCATTATTAATTTAAGTATTTTACTCTGGGTTTTATCCAA